CATTTTAACTTCAAATTATGCTTGCAAGAGTTAAATTCCTCTCAGAATATAGACTCTGGGAAATGACTGCACATTTCTGCTGGCAGCTGCCTTGCCAAAGCCAAGGCTGACTCAATCAGTGTGAGCCTGCAGAACAAAGCCAAGTTGGCCCCTTAATTGTCCTCAGCATTCTGGAGTGTCAGGCAAGTTTCCCTCCACTGAGTCACCATTTAAAAAATTTGCCTTCGTGGATGGGAACCTGCCATTTTGTAAAAGTGCGAGCTGAGGCTTGTCTGAACCCTTGGAACAATGGAGTATCACATTTTGTAACCATTACTTCTGAAACGGCTTGAAAAAGTCCTTTCTATAAATTGTGTTCTCTGCAGCTGCTGCAAAATTCAATACTGTTTGTTTACTTATTTAAACATCATTTGGGGGTCAATCAAATCATATTCTAAAGGATTTTAGGTTTTGTGCAAAAAAAACCATCGAGATACTGAACACATTAACACGTAAATAACAAATACATGTTTATGCATTGGCTTCTAGTTCAAGCAATCTGGTTGGCATTTTCTCAAGGGAATTATTTAAATTTTAAATGGAACAACATCTCATTTAGATTTCTACAAATATGCTAGGGCACAGAAGTAATTTAAATGTACATGAGACTCTTCACTTAAGCACCTGGGTACTTGACAATAATTAAAATACAAAGTAGACTTATTAACTTTTCCTTTTAACTTTCCACCTTTTTGCTTCTTCATGGAGAGTGAGAGAAAAATGTCTAGAATAGATTGTCAAACACCTAGGGGTCCCTTTTCCTACGCTCACATAATGCCTAATTGCAATTCCCTCCTGAATCTCTTTCTGTTGCCTCCTTCAAAAGTTATGCTATGATCTTTCATATACTAGTCTCTGTTTTCAAAATATGATTTTGTTTTGTGTTTGTTTGGTGGTGTTAAGGGATAGAACCTAGGGCCTTGTGCATGCAAGGCAGCTGCTCATCAAGAGTGCCTATTTTGAAATAAAAGCGATGTCAAGCCTGGCTTGGTAGCACATGCTTGTCATCCCAGCCATTCCAGAGGCTGAGGCAGGAGGATCTCAAGTTTGAGGCCATCCTAGGCAACTTAGTGAGACCCTGTCTCAAAATAAAATAAAAGGGCTAGGGATATAACTCAATGCTAAACCACTCCTGGGTTCAATCCCAATGTAGGAAAAAAAAAAGTGCTATTGAAAATCTAATCCCAAATTTTCTCCAACAAGCCAGTAGTTACCATTGATACAGTCTTTTATACTTTATTGCTGTTAAAATAATATTCATCATATGCTGATTTAGTCTTTCACAGAGCTCTTCAAGAAGAGTTCTATTTTATTTTGAACCAAAACACAATGTTCCTGTTTGTTCTTTGAGACCTCTAAACAGTCAACATCCCAGCACCTCCTCCTGAGTCTCCTTCCTCATTCTCAAGCTCATTGGCTTGTTCCTAGCACTTTGAAGTCGATCTCATCTGAAATGCCTTCCTTCTCCTTCCTACCATTCTGTCTTCTCCTCCTAGTGAAAAATCCAGCTCACATTTTTTGAATCAATATTTATTTTTGCTCTGGGATTATGGAATTGAAATTACTCTAATTTATGTTTTCTTTCCCAACAATATTTCAAGTGGACACAATGTATATACTTATCAGCTCTTTTCTTTATCCTATTAATGTTCCTCTGTTATATAATGCATAAGCTGAGTCCCAGAATGTTGTCAACTCACTTAGAAGTAGAGAAAATGAGACACTGAGATTCAACTAAACAAATTTGCAGTTATTGTTAACTCTGGCTTAGTTTTATAGTAGGGAGATATGAAAACTACTGTCTAATAGAATTTGGATATTCAAAAACAGGCACCATGCCAAATGTTTTTTTGACTCCATGTACTTTCCATTTACGGCCCTGTCCTGTTTTGTGATTTTTGTCTTTCAGAACACAATTTGTTGCTGAAGAAATTTGAAACAGTGAAATAAGTGTGTGCCTGTGTGGGTGTACACCAAATCTAAAGGAAATTCCATTAAAGCTATAAACCGAAAAAAATTATCCCAACTTTGTTATTTCCATGGCTCCCTGAAATAAAATCCATTCTGTTTGTTCTTAATATCTTTTTATGATTTAGTGATATCCTGTAGAGTACTTTATTTTAATTTCAAAAAGGCAGTGAATAGCAGATGTGGTAGAAGGCCCTGAAAAGGAGAAATGGGTTAGAGAGAACCAGTAAAACTAAAAAATATACTGTCAGACTTCCCAAGCAAAGTCAGCTCTAACAGAGGGATCTGGAAGCATCAATGGGAATCTGTTTCATTCAGAGACACTGACACTGGGGACAAAGGAATTTCACTTTTTTGTTTCTTATGGTTAATTTTACTTTCTTAAAGCAGCATTTTTATTTCATCAATTATTTAAAATTGTATTTGGAATGTAAAAAGAAAAACTTTCGACAACTTAAATTTAGCAAAGAAAGATTTATGAATTGGGCAGCTCTCAGAACTAGGAGAGGTTTTCTAGAGCTCCACCCAGCTATGTGGGCAGGCAATATTTAGAGACAGAAAAAAAGGAAATGAAATTCAGAAACAGCTTGATTGGCTACAGTTGGCATTGCCTTATTTGGGAATGGCATGAGGTGGCCTTTGCCTTAAATAGACATAGTCTCATCAGTTCTCAACCTGTGATTGGCTGAAACTGAGGTGCTGTGATTGGCTGAGCCTCTGCTACCTGTTACAACAAGATATTCTCTGTCAGGTTGCAGTTGTATCTATACTAAGTTAGAGTGCAGTTTGATAGAGAAGCAGCTGTAGGCCAAATTTAATTAAATTTAACAAGTGTTCTATCATCAAATCTTCAAATTCTCATTAAATCTATAGTTGCTCACAGTTCCTCAACTAAGAATCCAAAATCTAAAAAAGGTGTGAAAAATGCTTTTATAACCCTTCAGTGGCAGAATATTACCTGATCTAAATTAATTTAATGACAAAACTAAATTGATATCAAATTGTTTTACAGTTTTTATTTATCCCCCCTGTGGATATTTGTATGTTTTGGTGTTCACAGAATGTTTCTGAATACAGAGTAAAGCTCCAGACCTTTGGGGCATGTAATATAATATATGAAAACTGTTATCTATATAAAATTCATTTTTTTCTGAAATTATAATAATATCTGGCCCTAAAGATTTAGTATTAGTAATTGTGAATCTGAACTCATTTTCCCCTCTGTTTTTATCAGGAAGAAATTCTAAATTATGTACTCTCTTGCAAATGTTTCTTTGATACCTTGAATCAAAGGTGTTAATTTATGAATGTCTCTACTATGAAGGAAACAATGAAATTAGGTTTTAGCAAAGAAGAACTCTGGATACAAATCACACAAAAGGACTGCAAATACTTTTTTTAAAACATGATGACAAATTGTGACAAAAGTCACAATTCTCTTTACAGAGGATTTTGTACATTTTATTCCTTAACTACCATATGGGTACTGTGCATGAATATATATAGAAAAAAATGTCTATACACACATATGTACCTGTAAGGTACACACAGGTATATACTTCATAAATTTAACAGCAACTTTGGAAAACAGAGTTAGTGTTGTTCAGTGTGTGTGTATCATGTCTACTCTCACAATAGATCATAATAGTATCCTAAAAAAGGACGTTTATTGTTGTAGATGTAAATGCATGTGTGTATGTACACACACACACACAATTAGTACTTTTCAATATTTTATCCAGTGAACAGTTAGAATAAAATTAGTGTTGGTTTCCAAGGCACTTAGGAGGTATCAGCTTCCTAAGAGGATAGGTTTGCGGTTATTACTATTTAATAGAACAATTCAAATGGAATCTGAGCTTATATAAATTGCTCTGTATGTGTTAGAAGCAGAACAAGAAAGGCAAATGTCCTTTACAGTTCTCTGGGCTCTAACTCATGGGGAGTTCTACCTGCCCTCTTCAGGGAAAAAGGGTGGTTTATTGCTGTTACAAATAGGACAAGACATAGGATTTTGACTGTCAATCATCATTTATTGAGGGCCTAACTGTCAAAATCTGAAGCAGACAATGGGAGCTGTTACAAAGTTATTGGGAGGCAGAAGTTTTTCTTTGTAAGAACATGCAATATAAGCAGAGAACAGCACAACCACATTTTGAAGAAATTGTCTAAAGTATATTAACAAAAGAGCATTGATATTGTTATTAATATGCATTATGAATGTCAAATTTAATAACATATCCAGATGAAAAATATGCCCTGGGCTTGTAAAAGATACTCTGTTTGCTTTTACCAGATTCATGCTTTTATGTATAAGGGTAAGTATTCAAGCTGTGTTCTTTAGGGAAGTTAGAATGGTGTTGGGATGGAAAAAGAATGACAGAACACATGCAAATTCCTGTCCAAGGTCAATGGTAGTCAAAAGACAAGGAATGAACAATGGTAAGGGAAGGATTGGTTCTGGAGCCTTGGGGTACATAGAGCTCCAATCCTGCATCCTGACAGTTTTGGAAATCATTTATCTAACTATACAATGAACATTACTTTAGAACATGGAAATCCTTCTGTTTCCTAACTGAAGGCCAGAGGTGTTGTTGTTGTTTTGGCTTTTTTTTTTTTTTTCTGCCACAATGTGAAAGGAAACAGTGATTCCTTTCTCCAGAAGTATGTGTCCCTTGCAAGTGGAAGTATCATGCTTTCACATGAATGGCAGCAGCAGCCTTTGGGGACAATCTCAAGAGCTCCTAACTGAAAAACCCATGTTTCCAGTTTAAATACGAGGCAGTAATTACTCATGCAGCCAGGGACAATTCCACGTCACTGCCTATTTGCGGCACTGTTTAAAAACAATCCACTCATCCTTCAAATTTGACCAAACTACAAATGGTATGAGAACTCAGCCGTCTAATAAGGATGTTCATTTTGGCACTCAGCGGCTTACGCATGGCTCACAGATGGCTTCTGTCTCATTTTGTGTAATCCAATCATCCTGCACTACTGCGTCTCACACTTAGTCTCCAGGAGTAATTGAAAAGCTCACGGTGACAATTGTCTCTTCTTCCAGATGTCATCAGTATAAGGAGCACGGATCTCATCACACCTCCTTGATGTAGGTTGTGCGCATGGCTCTCCGCGTCAGGGTTGCTCCAAGCAAGGTAAAGAGACGTTACTTCTTTGCATTGCTTTTCCTGCTGCCTAGCCCTTGTGTAAATGAGTATGTTCTATAAATGGCCTCTCTGTCAGTAGGCAACTTGTTTCGCTTTTGGCTGGGTACCATGCAGAAAACATTCTGCTGTACTGCTTGCATCTTGTGGTAATGGTGGCAATACAGAGGCGCCTGTGCCCAAGAAAGGATTCTAAAACATTTAAACAGTAGCTGTTTAAAAGCATCATTTTACACAGAAGCAATCTCTCTAGTGTTAACACCTGTACTTCCACTACCATGTTCCAAAATCTTGACAGTTTGTCCTCAATCTTTTTTTTTCTTTTCTATTTTTTTTTTTTGCAGGGGGTAGCTTTTATTTTTGTAGCTTCTAAAGGATGTGCAAGATTTTAAAGGCAAAGCATTAAAACATTTTAAGCTGTAGGGTTGTTAGTTTCTTTTCCCCCTGAAGCTAGTGTTAATAGTTTTTATTTCAGTATAAAAATACCCCTTTAAAAAAATCAAAGAACCTAAAACAAGGAAATATGCATAGCTTCAAAGCAGCTGTGTAAATTCACATAGACTTCAGGCCTATAAAGGAGCAGGCTTAAGGGAATGACACTGGAAAATCAGATTTTTACTTAAAAATTAATTTATGATTACAAGTGAGTGCTACATTCATTTTAGTAAAATATCAACACCATGTGTATTTCCTTGAGCTTTTTCTGCTCAATGCCATCATCACCACATACATCATCAGTGAGAAATGTTGAATATGGCAACAGCTAAGAAAAATTTTCTAGGTCAGTGAAAACACTATTTCAAGGAAAACATTTTCTAAGAAATTTGTTTTTAAAAAGGATTTTAAAACTGTTCATAATTTATAAATAATTTTGGGATGCAACTAGCAATAATAACTTGCTGAAGAGATAAAAAATTAAAAGATAATATCCTTTGTCTTAAGTAGCTTACACAAAGAACAGGGACTCTATATTTAGTCTCGGTTTACACACACACACACACACACACACACAAATACATACATATTCCTTGCAGGAGAAATATGTGCATGGTTGGTGCAGATCTTGACAGTTTTAAAATCCCAGAGCATGTGCAGTAGAGGTGAGTTGGGTGACAGTCTGAATTCTCATGGCACATCCTGTGGGTTATGAGTTAACTTTTCTTCAATCTTTGCTTATTGTCAGTATTATCAGCACAGGAATTACTTATACGCTCCTAAATTAATATTAATAGCAAAAGTGACCTTCATCTGAAGATAATTCCAAGGTTCCACAAACATATTGAATGCACACAATGTGCCAGGCATTGGGCTAATTAAATCCCCCCATCTCTATGCTTTAAATGAGAGAAAAGCTGACACAAGGGAAAGAATTGTGGCCAAAGGCCATTTAATTAATTTGCTGTCTGGGAAAATTGCACAAAAAAACTGGGAAGCAAGCCCAGGTATGAGGACTGGTAATTTGTTGTTCAGAATACAGTGTTTTGATGTTCAAAATGCACTTTTCCTACCTACATTAAACTAATGTAAACTTTCCTCTGTGAAATGAATGTATGTAAAGATCTCAGAGACACAACCCAGTTTGGAATTTCCTTGGACTGGAGAATTTTGTCCTTGGAAGAGGCCCTTTCCAAGGGAGCTGCTCCATGGAAGCTGCATCCTGAGCTATGGTCCAACAGGAGACAGGGCCACATCTCATGGTTTCTCTAGGAATTGTTGTAAGAACTCAAAGGAAGGCTTTCGATGGAAAGAAGTGGAAGGGAAAGAATTCTCTGTTGATATAGTACTGAATACTGGGAATTTTACATACGTTCTGAACACAAAACCCCTATGAGGGGCTGGGGCTGTAGCTCAGTGGTAGAGTGCTTGCCTAGCATGTGTGAGGCACTGGGTTTGATCTTCAGCAACACATAAAAATAAATAAATAAAAATAAATGTATTGTATCCATCTATAACTGAAAACAACAACAACAACAACAAAAAAAAAAACTATGAAAACTTACTTATGTTTTACAGATAAATAGAAGAAACACTCAGAAAGTAACTGGCTGATGTCACGTACTTGCTGGGGAGGAACTAGGAGAGTAACTCCAGCATATCTGACTATAGAGTCTACATTTTTTCATTGATAGACTATGGTTCCCATTGGACTAGGCTTTCATTATGTTTTCCTTCCTTCCTTCATTATTACTCAAAATGTAGTTATTGAATATCTACCAACGGTTAAACAGTTTGGGAGATGAGGAATTAAACATGACTAGATTCACGTCTCAGAGAGGCTGAAGATATAAGCACCTCCATAAATAAGTGTATTACTACACAAATGTGGTCAGATCTGTAAGACATACACATAATACAATGGAGGGAAAGATGGAAGGATGGGAGGAATGAGAAGAGGAAAGAAGGAAGGAGGGAAGGAATAAAGGGAGGATGGACAGAGAAAGGGAGGGGGAGGAAAGAAGGAGGGAGGCAGAAAGAGAAAGATATAAAGGAAAAAAGGGACAGATTGACTCTGTCCTGGAGTCAGGGTGCAGTGGGAAGATGGCATATAAGTTAGACCTTGAGAACATACAGCTATTTGCTCTAAGAGAGTAAGCTTTGTAGGCGATGGGAGCATTCTTGCTTCGCAAAATCACATAAGAGCCTCCAGTTTCCATAAGATAAATGGAGAAAGCTATTTATTATAAAAGGAACAGGCTAAGATTTCACAAGAGAATTCCCCTAAACTTTCAAAGTTCATATACTTCCAATGCTTCTTAAATTATTTCTGAGTATAGAAAAAGAAGAAAAAACATGAAGCTGTTTTAACGAAACAGAAATTAAAGATAACACACAAAAAGATGGGCCAGGTGTGTTGGTGCACTCCTATAGTCCCAGCGGCTCTGGAGGCTAAGGCAGGAGTATTCCTAAGCAACTCAGTGAGAACCTGTCTCTAAATAAAATACAAAATAGGGATGGGGATGTGGCTCATTGATTGAGTTGAGTGCCCCTGAGTTCCATCCCCAGTGCCCCCATCCCCCAAAAGATTGATCTAATTTATGAATATAAAGGTAAAAATCCAAATAACATATAAGCAAAGCAAACAGAATCTAAGATGACATCATACAAATAAAGTATCATGGCCAAATTATATTTATTCTAAAAATGTAAGGATGGTTCAGTATTAGGTAATCTACTAGCATAATTAATCATATTTATAAATCTTAAGTGGAAAATCATATGGTAATCTTCATAGATGCTAAAATGGTCTTTGAGTAAAATTGACAGCCATTCCTAATTAAAACACTAAATAAAATAGAAACTGATGATTTCTTCTTTTTCCTTATTTTAAATTTATTTATTTATTCTAATTTGTTATACATAACAGCAGAATGCATTTCAATTCATAGCACACATACAGAACACAATTTTTCGTGTCTCTGGTTGTACACAAAGTAGAGTCACACCATTAGTGTCTTCTTATATGTACTTAGAGTAATGATGTCCATCTCATTCCACCATCTTTCCTATCCACATGCCTCCTCTCTTCCCCCCCCTTTGTCCTATATAAACTTTCTCCATTCCTCCCATGTTGCCCCACAACCTCCATTATCTATCAGCATCCACATATTAGAAAACATTCAGCCTTCGGTTTTTTGGGATTAGCTTACGTCACTTAGTATGATAGTCTCCAACTCCATCCATTTACCTGCAAATGCCATGATTTTATTCTCTTTTAATGCTGAATAATATTCCATTGTGCATATATACCACAGTTTCTCTACCCATTCATCTACTGAAGGGCATCTAGGTTGCTTCCACAGTTTAGCTATTGTGAATTGATCTGCTATAAACATTCTTCTTTAGTATTAAAGAATATCAATAACTACACATGCACACATGCACTCACCTCACATCACATCACATCACAGTCCTAAAGAGGGTGTGTTACTCAGTGGAAAAAAACAGGGACATCTTTCAAAAGGCAAAGAACCAGACAAGGATATACATTAAATTCACTATTATTTAAAAATATACTGGAAGTTCTAGTCAATCCAATTAGACCACAATAAAAGAAAGAGCCATAAGAATTAGAACAGAAGTGAAACTAAGTCTATTTATATATACTATTGTATTTATATATAAGATCAAGCAAAATAAGCCAATCCCCTAAAATCAAAAGTCAAATGTTCTTTCTGATGCTATCTGGGTTTTAACACATAACAAATGGGGGTGAGGGAAGAACAGAAGTTTAGTAGATTAGACAAAGGGGAATGAATAGAAGGGAGGGGGAATAGGAATAAGAAGTGGAATGAGTCTGTCTTAACTTTCCTATGTACATTTTAAATACACCACAGTGAATTTTCACATCATGTACACAAGATTGGGATCCTAATTAGAATAAGATGTACTCCATGTTTGTATAAATATGTCAAAATGTACTCTACTGACATAGATAACTAAAAAGAACAAATAAAAAATTCGGATGATTGGCTGGGTGCTGTGGCACACACCTGTAATCCCAGTGACTTGGGAGGCTGAGGCAGAAGTATCACGAGTTTGAGGCTAGCCTTAGCAACTTAGCAAGATCTTTAGTAACTTAGGGAGACCTTGTCTCAAAATAAAATATAAAAAATAAGAAGAGCTAGGAGTACGGCTCAGTGGTAAAGCACGCCTGGGTTCAATACCCAGACCCAGACCCTGAATCATGAGGTGTATATCTTATTCTTTTAAAATTTTGGTTTTGTGTGTATTTTATAATGTGATCCGATCTGAGTATGGTGATACATGCATATCTATTTTCATTCATGATTTATAAGTTAATTAGTACATATTTTTGGGGGGTGTATGCTCAAAAAATTACTACTGTGAAAATGCATTTAAAATTTTTGTAAAATATATATTGAGTTTCAAAAAATGAAGTCTTGTGATTTGACAGCAGCTAAATTTGGTATAATATAAAATAAATCTTAAATAAAGATAATTAGGGAGAAAAATGAAAATACTAACACAAA